CTTAATATGAATAATGTAAAGAAAAGTCTGCTCTAGAAATGAAAACTAATAGGCTTATTGAGGAGCTCGAGAGACAACAAGGTTGGCATGTTACTTTCGAAAACCACAAGAACAATGAAGGTGCGCGATAGGCCAGAGTGTGATTCGAGATGGTGGATCTCAATCGTATATCGCTCAAGGATACCCACGGTGGCTTGAAGCTGTTTCTGTACGAGAACAATGTCGAGCTTGGCTGGGTCGTTGAGGATTATGAAGACTAGTTATGGTGCTTTGAAGAGGAACAATACTCTGTTTTACATGCTTTGAGTTTGGTTTGTTTTACTTTGGTTATTGCTTCTATGGTTGGTTTTATGCTAGATCTTCGTTATTCAAATTTAATAGATCTTTGACGAACAAAAAAAAAGAGAGAGGAAACCACGTAAACTAATGGATTCGTTCAAGGGAAAATCAATTTAGGAAAAAATGATGATTGAAACTTATATAAAAAAAAACTATAGAGTGGATCATTGAACCCAACACCTCAACCCAACACCTCGAACTTTATGGGGTGCAACAACATCCATTTGTCCCAGAGAGCAACACTTTTAATGTCCAAAAAACAATTTTCTTATATTTTACCTGGATCAGTTGACCCTCTACTTAAAACGTAGGCGGTAGATCTCCCACTCGATACGTGTATGCATTGATTAAAACACACAGAAGTGAAGACATCCTTTATGTTATTAAAAGCCAAGCTTGAAGCTTAAGTTGATGACCGTGTACAAAAGAGAGAGAAATATCATTATTTTCTCAAAAAAAAAAAAGAGAGAAATATCACTAAACAGCAAAGTTGGTCTGGAATTTGCATGCGTACAAGATGCTCTCCATAGACAGCTCAAGTATTATTTTACGAGACAACAACAATTTCAAAGCCCAAACGTTACAATGTAAATGTTTTTATTTTGCTTAGAAAAAAAAAATACAAAATGACATAAAAATCAAGCATTCCAATTTGAAAGAGCAAGAAAGCAACAAGATAGTAAAGAAGATTAAGAAGCTGGCTTAAAATAGTCATAAGCCGCAAAATAAGTTTGAGAAAATGTGAGAACTAGCAAAAAAACTGCAGCAAAGAAAGATAAATATGCCCAAGGGTTATCAAAGTACTTGTGTTTCAAGGTTGTCTTCCAAGCATTCCACTTTCTGAAACAGTTCTGATTATAAGATTGAAGAACTTCAGTCAACAATTGAGATAAATAATCGTCATTGGTGTTGAAAACCACTTCCTGACATAGCTGGTTAAACATATCCGCAACTTCAGAATCACTCCCTAGTGAGTGTTCGATGATACCACGGTGATGCAAGTAGCTAATATCTTCAGGAGAATCTATTAGATTGTCCATAAAAATTATGTAGGATGTTATGTCATTGCTTAAGTCGGTATGGCACTGCTCGAAAGCTATGAGATTCAAGAAGAGAGATTTGGTACCTACAAGAAAATGGAGAGTTGGTGGGCTTGTATTTGAGTAGTTGGATTCAGTTAAAAAAAAATGCATTTGTTTCATTCTCTGATTTAGCCACTTGATGATATTTGAAGATAAAGCAACACTAAAACAATATATTATGACATACAAATGAAAAACATGTTGTGCAAGAAAATAATTAGAATACCATGCATTTCTTCGGGAGCCAGATATCACATATATGACTTTGTTGTTCAAAATGACTTCAAATCATTTAAAGTCGTAGGGATTTCAAAAAGGTCCTAATAGAATGAGAAGATGAATGTTACGCTCATTACCTAATACTTATATTAGGTTTTTCTGTTTTGCTTATAAAAGGATTTGTTATTCATTATTCACAAAAATTAATAAGAAAAGCCTACACAAAAGGCACATCGATCATATTCCCATAGCTAATATTACTGTTTAGCAATCAATAAAAAGGAGTAAATATAGGTGTATAATAAATGCAAGATTTCGAAGTTAATTTAAATAGGTTAGGGGAAAAACATTAAATTTACCGTCATGGATATGTAGAGTAGGTATTTCTAGATAGCCGTTGTTGAATTTAATATCCCAAAACCGGTCGGTTTCTCTCATCCGGAACTGAAAACCGGCGTGTCTTAGTTCCGTCACAGAAGGAATCATTTGTTGTAAACGTTTGTCAGCTAATCCTTCTTCTGATGTCATTGGCTCCGGTTTAGGGAAGAGGAGACTTCGACGAAAAACATCGAGACAGTGCAAGTCGCCCAAGTCGGCTGATGGGTCAATGATTACGCCTCTTGCCTGCGTGTCCTTGGCCGATGTCTCGGCCGTTGGCCTTGATGGGTCAAAGAACCGAACTGCCAACTGTGCCACTGAACCGGTTTGGTTTTGTAGCTCTAACAACCGGTTTAGTACGAACAAAGGAAGTTGGTTTTCCAGCATTAGCATGTCACGTCGAATCGAATGCATCGATCCTCGAATCGCGAAAACTGGATCCTTACGATCGTACCTACAAAAAAGATATCAAAATTAAAAGCCAGTTTAGATAACCGGATTTGAACATCATCCGGTTAGCAAGTATAACATAACCAGAAATTTGAATCAAGATTACCCGAGTTTCAAGAATCCTTCATCGACTCCTCTGAGGAGTTCGAGAACAAAACAACCATCGAGAACAAGCATTTCTGTGAACTTATAAGTGTTCAAACTAATGGGACCTTCATAGCAAGCGCGAGCCTTCTCCTCTAGATCGGTCATGGCGTCAATAAACGTTTCAATGACTTGACTTGTACGTTTCAAGACCTTATTGACCGCACGCCATTTGTGGCACTCCATGGAGTGGAGTTGCGGTTTCCCATGATGGTACGGACCAAGCGAGACCGTCTGAGGAAAATACGACTTATTGTCCTTTTCGTGTAGGTAATGCTGAACTTTGTAGATACAAAGCTTGCCCCAGCTAGTTCTGTCATCGTCTTTATTTGCTTGATCGAGCTTGTCTCTTATCGAGATCACCCAATCACGTCGTCTTGTCCCGCTCTCTTCGATCACCTCGATCGCACCAGGTTTGGAACGAGTGTGGTCATGATTGGCTCTGGTAGTTCTGGTTAAAAAGGGGAGTGTAGAATCTCGACTAACCGATTCGGATTCTTGGCTTTGGGTTTTGCGTAATAGGATGAACATTTTCAACTTGTCTTTGTTGAATCCTTTCTTGACATTTTGCCCGGTAAGCCGAAATCCCCTGAATATTTGC